TGTTACTATTTCAAGTATGCCCTTTCAGAATTTTCAAGGATTTTTCAAATCGATCTATGAACAAAAGAGATATGATGTTTTGAAAAAAGGTGCTAAATCGAGATTTTTTCGCGCTTTTGAACTTTCTTTTTTTTTTGAATCCATATATCTCGGAGCTCTTTAATTCTATCGACTTTTAAACACAATGGGCTTGTTCCTTGGTCGATTCTCTAGCGATTGAAGAAAAAATTAATTGAAATATGTCCATTTTTATTAGAGTTACAGTAATAAATATGAAATATTATAGTTACAGAATTATTATAATTACAGTAATAAATATAAATATGAGTTTTTCGTAATAAATATGGAGTCCTCGGAACCCCAGTGTGTATACAACGTCAAAAAAAAACAGTGTGTATACCTAGGGTTAATTTAAAAAATTGACTTATTAAATAATATTCTCCAATATTGTCATAGGTTGCCTAGAGGACCCACACTTACTTTCAAGATACACTACAGTTTCTCCTTGGCACGAGACGTTATATCTATATTGAAGAAGCAGCTGGTAAACAAGGAGGCCTTTAAAACTTCTCCTCCGTTGGAACTTAAGTAACTTCAGCAGGGAGGGAGTGCATCTGAAACTTATAGCTTCCACTTGCCAGAACATGTTCCCAACAATAAACTTGACCACTGTAAGTTTCGTGAGACAGTTAATTCAAGAAATGGGATTTAAAACACAGCCAGTTTTGAGAGCCATTAAATTTGTAAAATAAAATTAATTAACATTTTTACAGGTGAATCTGAACACAATCCGTCGTTGTATATGCTTGAATTACAATGCGACGACTAAAACTATTGACCTCAGACATTATGCGATCAAAGTTCTGCCTGTAGGTTTATCGAGAGGCGTTAAAAAAATAGTACGAGCTGAAGTACCGAATTTATCCAAGTATCAAGATATCTCGGAGTTTTTGACGAAACCGACCATGATTCGAAAGCGAAGTATAGGATGACGAGAGTAGTCGTGTCGCGCTGTCGCAAAAATTGTCCTCGAGAGGGAATCAGGCTAATTCCAAGAGTGCGATTATATTATCCGAATTGAGACCGGGAATAACGTTGCAGGTTAAAAATCTAATCAAGCTTTAAGTTTAATACAACAAATTTATAGATATTTAATATTTTTCTAATGTTGACCGAATGTGTTTTAGTTAATTAAAGTCGAGAATGGACTCCTCGACGGTGAAGTTACTTTTAAATTTATACACAAAACGGAAGAGGAGAAGCTTGTAATAGAGAACAAAAGAGAAGAGAAGAAATCGAAGGAGAAAAGGAAAAGATTGCAGGAAGAAAATACGAAAAAGAAAGAAGCGCGAAAGAAAGAACACAAGGAGAAATCGTTGAAGGGAATTCAGAAGAGAAAAAATGCTTCTGCAAAAAATCGCGAAAAAATCTACTGAAAAGAGCGAAATGAAAGACGATATTATCGTGAGGAAGTAGGAGAGGAGCCTGATAAAGGTAAATATACAGAATATCAATATTTTAATTATATAGATTTACTTAATTTGACAGTACAATGCGAAAATTGTGATTTTCAGATTTATTTCAAAGAAAAATTGGTATGAAGAGGCCACATAAACATATAATGAGATACAAGTCGAAGAAAGCGAAAGACGAATCCTAAAGTAACATTAAATAATTCGTAAAATGTCTTAGAAATAAAATATAATAACAATATTGTCGTAACAATATTATCCGTTTTAATTAAAAATGTATATTCTTTTTATTTTGTGTTTGCAGGAACATTAAATTCATTTTTGCAGCCATTTTTACATGTACAATATATATTGCACGGTTTTTTGTGGCCGACACATTTGCATTGTTGCGATGTGCAATCCTTTTTGCATCCGCATCCTTTAGACATTTGCGGCGATAAATCATTTTTTATTATTGTCTGTAAATCAAAAAAATAATAAGTTAATACACATGTAATATATATAAATTATTTTATTTTAAAAAAATTACCTCATATTCTTTTGAGATATTTGGATTATTTTGGGAACGGGTAACTCTCTGCATCGATTTCGCGGATTCGCTTAACTGCGGTTGCGGCTGGTTTGTTCTCTGCGGAGTACTAGTACTCGCCGACTGGAAGTCTGTCAGACTTCCAGTCGGCGAGCTCGCCTCCGTAATCATCACCATCGGTGGCTCCGCAGTCGCGCTCACGCCGCTCTGGTCGTATTCGCTGTCCGCTATCGATACTTCCGCCGCCAGTTCCTTCAAGTATGCATTTTCATTTTGTAAATCACGAAATATTTTGCAAGTAATTAATATGATTCTCTAGATGATTAATTTCGTTTCTACTCACCGAGAACTCTTTCCTCAATCCTGCAGCGTCCTGTTCATCTCCTCTTCCAGATATCGGACTTGCGACTTCCGCATCCACTTGGATCTTCTGTAGTTCTCCATTTGACTTATCTCTTACTGAAATTGGCAAGTGCAGTTGAGCATCGGCCAGTTTCTCTCTCAACTCGTGAACCATCGACTCGTACTCTTTTATTTTCGACGTGAGGCATTCAATCTCTCTTTTTTCCGATATATCACGACTCTTCTGCAACTGCAATTCTAGTACATGTATTTTTGCCCTCATCAAATTGTCATTCCGTTCCGCTTCCTTCAACTTTTCTTGAAGTTGACAAACTGCATTTTTCAATTCACGTTTTTCAACTGCAAGACTCTGAATACATTTTTCGTGTTCCATATTCGTTTTCTGCGCTTCTGCTTGACATACGTTTAATTCTTGCTTGATGAGATTATTATGCAATACTGCTTCCTTTAACTTCTCCTCCAACTCGGAAATGATCAGTCCGGACCTATTTTCTGACAGAGTTTCAGTTGTAATCTCTAAATTGTCAATTTCATATTGACTTGCTTCGCATTCATTCCTTGTTGAACTGTCTAATTCCACCTCTTTCAGCTTCTTTTCCATTTCTCTATAGCTTTTGAATCTAATTATACCTTCAAAGTTACTTTTCACGGTACCAAGATATTCAATTTCGTTTTCTAAGTCGCTATTTGTCATGGAATCATCCATTATTTCTTCTTTCACAATACCTCTCGCTGTTAACTCCGGTTCCGCCGGCTTACTTTCCAGATCACTTATTTTAGTTTGCAGCTCTTTTTCGGAAAAAACAGTCTCGTCATTCGACATTTGAACTCCCTGCAATTCTATACATTCCGTGTCGTTAATTTTTCTGTCAACAATTTCCAGTAAAATATTTCGTTGTCTCTATTGTAACTTGTTTATACTTATACTTAAGGGTTATACTTATACTTAACTTATACTTATACTATATAACTTATACTTATACTTACACTACCTTGAGCGCCTAAAAATCATAGGTAACTTTGGGAATTTTTTTTAGGAAAACAATAAAAGTAATACAAAATTTGTTTTAAGGCTTTAATAATACATGTCTTTAGAAGTAAAAAATATTTTTTTCA